ATGCCGGCGAAACGTCTGGGAATGTACCACGTCTACGGTTCAACTTTGGAAATGATCATGCAGACAATGGACTCCGGACTAGGTGCGTCCTCTAAGTATTCCTACCAATATGACCATGTTGCTAAATCAAGGTCAAACAACTTCTAGGGTAATATCATAACTGAAACAGCGATATTCCACAAAAATTCACATGAACAAGTTTTGTTGGTTGTGTATCTATGCTATGTATATGAAATAAATGGCTAAGATATCTACTCGAATACCATGGTGGCCCATAATTTTTAGCATTCTTATGACTTTTTCAGAGTTGGAACTGAATAACTATTTCATCCTATCTATATGGTCGGTTATTTTCAATCTTATTAGTACTCTAATCATCCAGCACATCGATAGACTGTATAGCCTTTGTCCATCCTGTCATCTACACTACCCATCCTATTTTTATTATGATACCCAACATCTTAGGAAACATTTACTCTGCTTTATCATTGATTACTTGATGATGTCTTGAATGTACTTTAAGTTCTTTGATATATGCTTATTTGTTATTTCTATGCTGACTATTTCAGCATCTTCCATTCTCCGCTTACATGGATATTCAACGCTTTCACACACTTCTCCGCAGCCATCATGAAAGAGGATCGCCTCGTACCCTCCTTTGCTTGCTTTTATCTAAATCATCTACTTGTGTCAATTCTTCTAGGGACGGTCTGCCTCCTGAACGCACGTTTTGTCCTTTATCTTTGCTAGCCGAATTAAATATGCCTCGAGTTGAATTAAACCCAGTTGCTCCCCGTATTCTGTTTCGTGCTATCTCTCGCGTTGCTGGCCTTGCATCCAGACAGGTTTGATTATGGAATTGATACGATTCTATATAAATATTTCTTGTTAAAAAAAGTGCTTTGATCTCTACCGCTATGTAGTCTATACTAATTATAGCTTTTCCTATCATTTATCCTTCAGGTATGCTCCTGGAAGTCACACATACTTCGCTCTTATCCTGCATTTGTAAAACTTTCAGACGAACATTTAGGCATTTGACATAATTGCTATTAGTACCTTAGTCATCTTAGGTTGATTTGAGAACTGAAAGTCGTGTTTTACCACCATGTGATGAGTACGCTTCACCCTTGAATTTCACTTAGTCTTGCCTCCAGAATGGACGGTAATTTTGGCCTTGCTCATATCTCATTATCACACCTAGTGAGATTCGATACCGAGTCGTTAACATCGTTGCGACATTACCTTTCCACTTCAGTGACAGGTGCC